CATGTTGTGTTCTTGGTGTCCTGAACTTTGCTCCATTTGTGGGCAGTTTGCCTACCCATGGACTGATGTACAGCCAAGTCTTGCTTTTGTAGCCTTTGCCAGCTTCATACCTCTTTTAAGGTCCTCTAAAAGTTTTGAGCAATGATTGAGGAACAGTTCACACCAGCCAGCCTTTTTAAAAGATGATAAGACTAGTAAACAGATTTTTTATGGCTTTACTAATAGGGGGAGGGGGGGCTCTATAACCAACAATTGCAGTCTCCTTAATAGGAGCACCTCACTCCCAGAATCTTTTGGAGAAATCACTCACACAAAGTTTTTCTGCTTTTGTCTGTAAATGTGACTTAGACTTAAGGTCAAATATTAAGAGTGGAAAGCCTGTTAATTAAATCCTTGTATAACAACCTTTTTCTTGCAAATTTAAGACAGGCCGTCTTTCCCGCAGACTCCGATATCATGCCAGCTTATAAAGTTTACACTCACATTCCCAGAATTCATGAAATATGCTTTTCATCTTCACATTTCATTGACTAATTTATTTCTCTTCAGAAGTTTCCTTGAACTCTTTGATCCTCTGAAGTCACACAATATGAATATATGTAACGTACATAAGAATTATAACCTCTAAGCTGTCATGTAGTTGCACAAGGACAACCAACCACCCAAAGCACAGGTGCAAACAATAACCCACATGTACAGACGCTGCTGGAAATCACAAAAGTAAAGTCCGCTCCACAGGGAGCATACTTATTCAGTCAATCCTCTTGTACTACTGAAGCGAAGAAGGAAAAAAAGTAGATCCATTCTGATTCTGTATAATTTCATGCGATAATGTATAATAAACATATAAAAGTGAACGAACAATGCTGTTCCTGAGCTAAGTGGTTTACAGGAAGTCGTTTGCATCTTCATCACAGACGTGATTTGCAACATAGCTTTGGTCGTGATGTAACAGTTATCTTGTACAAGACCTACCAACTAATTGGTGAGTGGCAACCATTGGGATCTCGGGGAAAAGCGTATTTCCTGAAAGTGATGCATCCAAAAATTCCTTGTGACTGTTTTGGTCGTTAGCAGACTAGCACACTCAACTACGGTTTCTGTGGAAAATGTTAATTTGTCTGAAACCGCACGCAACTACTGTGAAAAGTGTGGCCCAAACCTTTAGCCATCAAGTAAAAGTTGGATCTTTTGAAATGCACTGGTTCCAGCAGTAAGGCCCACCTTGGATTAAACGTGAACGTTCCAGTTTTAGTGTGCAGGAAGAGCCCAATTAAAGACATGTCTAGCTTCAAAGACTGTTGTGATTTTGCAATTTCAATACATACAATTCATAATCTAGATTTTTAATTAAGCACCCCTACACCACAAGCTACCAATATGGAAAACACGACATTTGCCCCGATTAATTTGGCTCGACGATATCTGAGGCTAGCATAGTAAATCAGGAAAAAACAAATCATGAACCAAATACAAAGTTTACAGGTAGAAATAAATGCTGATTCTGTTTATTTACCCATAACATGAATAATGAATATTGCATACATCTATTTCTTTTCTGATATAATCCATTAAAGATTAGTCCTGAACATCCATAAACCTGCCCAACCAATCCCCCTTGGTTAGCTGATTTGTGTTCAACAAGGCCTCTGAGGGAAACTATACAATGGTGACGAGGAATAATCATATTCCTGACAATAAGGACACCACTAAAAACCCAGGGGAGCTGCCGAGTCACGGATTTAAACCAATCACTGGCCAAATCCAGCAGTACATCAAAAGACATCGTCTTAGAGAAAATAGCTTTGAATTGTGTTCACTTCCATGTGGGGGGGCGACACAAACAACAAGAGTGAGGCAGAGATAATAAAGTTAGTTACCCGACATGCTCTTCACGGAGCACTGGCTGTTCTTTCTCTTCCTTTTCGGCACCTCTGGCCATCTGGGAGGGTGGAAGGAAAAAAAGACATAAGTGATTTAAAAAAGATAACATTATAGCAGCTTCAGGATAAAAAATCATTAATAAGATTTCTTTTTCCAATCCAGATAATGCAAACCTGTTTCTGTTTTAATTTTTTCAATTAACTACATTAAAAGAAAATGCCCACTATAATTTTCCAGCTAAAAAGAAGACATAACACTGCTAGAAAAAGAGAAACGTGGAAACGATGCTGCATTTTAGATATTTAAAGGAATCCTCTCCATAAATATGTTGGTCTGCAGTCATAGCACAGACTTACATTTTACATTTGGTTTGTTGGGTAACCAGAGCTGTTAGTTTGCTATGAAAATGTTTTTAATTTCTAAAGATCTACTCGTCAAGGTTGTCACTTGTCTCCGACTCTTTTCGCTCTTTACATTGAACCTTTAGCACAGGCAATAAGAGAAAATAATAGTATTCATGGGGTCGTAGTTAATTCAAGAGAACACAAAATAGCTGATGATGTCCTTTTGTACTTGTCGAATCCGGCTCTGTACTGACGCCCCTGTTCTGGACGACTGGTTGAGCGTTGTTGAGGAGATTCACAAAATGGAAAAACTTACCTTTTTGTTAAGGCTGCAAGCTAATATTTATACCACAAGATGGGACAAGTGGTTGAAATATATCCGAAATTAGAATTTTAGTTTTCCTTTCTCCTGTTTGTGCCTACCGACATCTATATAAACCTCTGCATGATGCTCTTACATCTGTAGATGTGCTGTCAATTCATGGATATAAAGTCATGTTCTCACTGCCAGAATTGCTTTGTGGGAAAAAGCTGTGCTTTTCAGTCGACTGCTTGTTTTGTTATTGTTGTTTTTGGTTGTTTGTTGTTTTCCCTTTCTGTTAAAATATGTAAAACCTTTATTAAAAATTAAGTAATAAAAAAAAAAGAAAATGTTTTTAATTTCTGTCTCCTTGTCTTGCTTGTTTTGAAATATGTTCAACACGTGGTCCCAAAATGAGTTCCTGTAATAAATTTGCTAAAGTCACGGTTGAGCGTGGAGCTAATTAGCAATCCAAACCACCACAATATGCATGGTAAACAAAAACAGCATAATCCAGTCTCTTCAAACACCACTTCAGCCTCGTCTATGGTTACAGCACAAACAGGCTGGTATATTTGAATCTTGTTATTTCGCTGCACTATTGAGTTTGTTCTGCAAATAGACTTTGGTTCGAGCCCATTTCCTTTTTGTTGCTAGGCAAAATTCTTACCTTGTTTAACCTTACTTGACGAACTATGCTACCCAAGCTAGCTTGAGTAGTGTTAGTCGATAATGGCACAGCTCAAACACTTGACCATACATGGTAATGACCGGTTTAAAAACAAACAAATAAAACGATAGAATAAGAACAGGATAGTTTACAAATTATCGAGTGTTGTCGTGTCATTTATGTCGGGCTCTAATGTCAGTTTGTACTGTAAGCACATGTTAGCATACTACAAATGGCTGGATGGACAAATGAACTGATAGGCAACAAAGTGTAACTTCCAACACTTTTGGGGGATTACTGACAAACTCTGGTCACGGATTCAAAACGGAATCATACCAATGCTTCCCATGCATGGACATGAAGGCTACTCCACTCTGTCCTCTACACTTAAAGACTGCACATACACAATTCATCCCCACCTTCTGTCTCTTTCTATAATTTTGTATCCTTCTCCTTTATCACGCTCACATGACAAATTCTGTTATTTGCAGCAGATTTGGATTACCACACTCCCCCCCCCCTATCTATCCACATGTTTGGCTGTTTGCTCCACACCCCTCCCATTCCCATTTTCTCTGTGTCTCTTTAAAAACTCCGTCTCTCTCTCCAAACCACTGCCACTTAGTCGACTCACAGCTACTGCTATATTCCCTCGATCCTCCCAGTGATTTCTTTCTTTCCCTCCGCCCCACCTCTTTCCTCTTCTCCTCCCTCAACTTCCATCAACACTATTAGGTAACACCCGTGTCGTCCCTCCTTCCCCTCCTTCCCCTCGCTCACTGGCTGTCAAATCCACTTTGCTCTTCCAACCTAAAAAAAAGAAAAGAAAAAAAATCCTCTGACGTCTCTTTTTCAGTCCTTGCTGCTCTTCACGGTCCATGAAACATATTATCTTTAATGCAGTGCACATGGTGAGGCAGTAACATGGTGGGAAACTGTCTGCTCTGGTAGTTGATCAATGTAAACTGAACTGGAGTTTATGTCAGTGTTGACGGCTCTTGTATACATTTTCTACAATGTGAAGGAATAACTCAAATGTGCAAGATGGTGAGGTTTGGAAAAATTTCCAGAGAAGGATTTAGCGCTACTTGAAATCCAAATCCAACTTAAAAAAATGACAATCCACAGGGTAGAGGAAGTTTTTTCTTTCTTTTGAAAACTGCAATCATAAAGCTGCAACCATTTATTCCTGACCACTATGTGGGCAGCAGAACAGAACAGGCTGAAGACGTCCAGCCCTCAGTGGTCTCCATGGGGGTTATAGAGAAGGAGGGTGAACAATTAACAGTTTTGTATTTATACATCTATTTTTTTACCAAGTTGTTGTGGTGTCTGCCATTTATCAATGAGAAAAGCCTGTTATGTTGTGAATCAGAGGAAGCTGCAAATCTATGCAAAAGGCGACTGCTAGAGCAAACAATCAGTCATATATGAAAATGATCAGAGCACAAATCTTTGCGTTCTCTTAGTATGTAGGCATGTTGTGATTCCAGAAATTCAGTAGTCAGTACCAAAATCATTCTTAATATCTACTTTCATACCAAACCAATGTGTCCTTAAACATAAACCCCTTAATGAGGTTGTTTAAATGCCTGACAGGATGGTAGCAGGATGTTACTTTGAAATGGGAACATTTATTTTGTTGACAGACAATAAACCGGTAACACACATTTTTGGATAATTTTAGGATAAAAAGAAATGCACAGATCATTTCACACGTTGAGCTGAAACTCACTCAGCTTGAGTCCTTACGATGGATCTCTTGCAGGTGCGTCACTAAACTGAAAATGAGCCTTAATTGCTCTGAAAAGCAGGGCAGCATTTTCGCATATTGTCTTTTGCAAATCAGATATCACCATACCCAACTTTGACTGCCGTTCTTATCAATGAGTTGGGACAGAGATACTGCGACAGTTGGACTAGCCCATCTTCCAACGACAGTAGTTTTCACTGTATGTGGGTGTACACAACTTTCTTATAGATGTCCCCTGCAGTTCTGAGGATTTCCTGCCCTGGCTTTTGGTCTCAAAACGTGTCGTAATGATCGGCTGTGACACCCCTAATGGGCTTGTTTAAACCATTACCATCTTTGTTAGATTTTAAACACTATAACTACCTAATTAATTAATTGATAGCTTTGTGAGTTAGTTGAACAAGCAGTCTTAGGCTGATTTGTTAATGTTACTACTCTTGTAACAAGCTACTTGGCATCCATGCTACGGCAGCTTTAAATAGAACCTTTGCCTTAATGAGATTCCCTTTGACAAAGAAATAAATAGAAACCATCCAAAGTGCATTTCTGTTAAAATATAATATACATTTTGTGATAATGGAAACAATTATGTGGTTGCAAAGACAGACACAGGAGCTGGTCTAGAGCTCTGTCCTGGGGGCATCAGTTGAAGGATCTGGATGTGGTACATGCACTCACAACAGATTTATTGTTAAGCTAGCAAGGCTTACAGAATCACTTGGAAATCAAATTTCTGGACTACTGTTATGAATTTGTGACTAATAAACTTACAGATAGTGAAGACCATAAACAGGACTCAACACACACAGACATCTGACAGGGGGCACAGATGCCAGCAGAGCACACACCCACTTCCAACAGACATACATGCAATCGCAGAGAAATGCATTCCCGCAATCACACCAACCTGTTGATGCAGTACGGCTGTAAGATATGCATGTTGCTCCTTTTGAAGGAATATCAGCAGGAGAAGATGCAGCCCAGCAGCACCGTCTGCTGATCCAGCCTCCCAGGAAGTTACTGCACGTGTCCCACTCAGCCTGGTTCAAACACAAGCTGTGTTTGCAGACCTCGAATCCCCGACTATCAGCCTCCCACTGAACTCAGCAACGAGTTGATCCCAGACAAATGCAAAAGAACTGAGCTTGAGTTGCTGCAATCAACTGAAACAGACTTCACTAGTAGCTCTGTGCCTCGGACTGGCTGCTGGGAGGAACGGCCACGCTGTTTATTTCCCTCCGCCACCCTGCCTCCCTCTTGCTCTCCCTTCTTTCTAGTTGCTCTCGTCCAGCCTCCCCTCCCTCCCTCCATGCCTGCACGGCATGGTGTAGTTCCTCCCCCCTACGTGTCATGCTCTCTGTCATCACAACACAACTCGTCATGCCCAGGTTTACCTTGTACAACCTCTCTCTGTCTCTTCCTGTCCTTGCTTTATTAAACACATTACGTGTTTCTTCAGCGCGACTTTCCCTCTTCTCCCTCTCCGGATCTGTCACCTGTCGTTGCTGCTGATATTTTTACATTTGACTCCTGTCACTTTTCTACTTTGCCCTTTTTATTTAGTTCCCCAAGAGGAAAAAAATAACTGTTGCCTCTCTGGATCCAAACTCACTTAAGCTTTAATGCTAACTTGATTACATAACAGCAGTCTGATGCAGTCTCCCTAGTAGAGCCAAGCGAAGTCTTATGAGGACACAGAGATGCTAGATATCTCAACAATCGAATTAGCCTTTACTGTGATCTCTTTTTGCTCCATGTGAAATCACAAGTTGTAGCTGGTTCAAATTTACCTGGGAGGGTGTAGCTGAATGATCCCAAGCAGGGTTCATCTGAGGCAGAAACAACAAGCTCCACAACAAACCATAAATACAGAAGAAGCTTTCATTTGCTCATTATTTTTTCTTGCTGTTTTCCCAGTTTCACATGAAAGGGAACGACTTTGACTTTAGAGATGCAGAACTATAACTGGCAGCATGCACATTTATTTGTC